ATTTTTATAATTTTATAAAAATTATTTTTATTATATTTTTAATCTATAATTTTAAAATGTAAATTAGACAATTCATTTTAAAAAGTTTAGTGATTTTTTTTTTTTTTGAATAAAGGAGAATTATGAGAAATGAAGAGGTTTTCTTTAAGTCTTTGATGAAATCGATCTCTTAATTAATTAAACTCATTAATTAAATGTAAATACTAAAAATAGAGACCAACCATTGAATCCCAGTACGTTCAAAAGTATAGCGATTTTAGCCCATCAATAGGCAGGTGTTGGTACAGTAGATTATTAAAAAATATTTTTAAAATAGAAATTAAACAACTCATTTTGAAAGTTAAGTGATTTTAATCCATCCATAGGCACCAACAGTATCCTTATGCCACAAACTGATGAAAAGAGTACATACAACAAAATAATAATAATAATAATTAAGAAAAGCTTGTCAAAGGAAAACAGAACACGCCTTCTCTTTACAGTGAATACTGAATATTTAAAGGACATCCTCTTTAAAAAAGACGATCAAGTGCGGGATCAGCCTGGTCGATTCTCTTACCATATCAATAATTGAGAAAGAGTATGTACCCAAAAAAGAAATTAATAGGACTGGGCTCTTGCAATACAATGAGTAATGTCATTAAAAAAATTTATATATATATTTTTAAATGAGTTGTAAACCCCTTTTATGATAAAAAGTAAAAATAATAATAATAATAATAATAATTATTGAGGAGAACGTGGGAAGGGGAAACACGACAATTCCTCTTTTCAGGTGAACAGTGAATACCGAATGGTCCTGCAACTTTCAAGAACGCTTGTTCGGAACGATAAAAAAATAAGTAATCAAATAAACAAAAAATAAAAAGTCAGGACTGTCTGATAATTTTAATAAAATTAGAATCATTTATTATGTGATCCTCACGTAAACTTCAATGTGAGGTCATATGATGAATTGCCCAGATTTTCTCAGTCCTAATTTTTCGTAAGCCGATAAATAAATAAATAAAAAGAAACAAACAAGC